AGAATAAGCCATAAGACGTCAGCCAGCTGCCGGAGGGGCTCGGCACCGCCTGCATCCGTCACCAAGTTCACATGAAAGAGCTTTGCTAGTTGTCCCGTGCTGACCTGGGTGAGCTCAGGGACTCAGCTCAGCTGCGTCTGTGCGTCCTCACGTTGGACAAACGTCAAGTTCAGCAGGCGAGACAGCGAAAGTCGAGGTGGGCGAGTGGCCGCGGTGGGCAGCCCGCAGCACCGGGCTTACGCCACCTCCCGGCACCGGTGGCCACTGCCCAGCTCTTTCAGTGGCTCATCTCCAGGGTCCTCCTCAGCCGGCGGCGTGCGGCCACTTTCTAAGAAGTTTCAGGGACTTTCCATCTTATTTTTCAGTGAAACAATGATGTTCAGCTTTGGAGAAACCAGTGATGTCCATATTTAAAACATTCACTGTATTTTAATGATTATTTGCCTCAAAAGAGTGTTGCAAACAAGCTGCCACAGTATTATCAGGAATATATTTCTGTGTGGATCACAATAAATCAAAGTACTCAGATTTAGAGGGCCGAAGGAGAGGTCGTTTCCTTCTCACGGGCAGCTTTCCCATTTATTGATCTTAGATTTCTCCTGTCCATAAAATACCTTTTGCAACATCAGCACCATCCTTTCCTCCAACTTTAGGAGTAAACAATGTAATTGTGCTGAAGAAGTGAGTCTTCTTTAAGCACCTTCATCGACGATAAATGCCCATACTTGACAGTAAAAAGCTGTGGTGGTGGTGGTGTGAGACACCTGTTGGATATGACCCTGGACCCGTAGTGCCCGGAAAGTGTGGACATCAGCAGGACTAAATTTTTAAATTTTAAAATTAAAAATATAAATAGATCTTTATTTCAGCAACAATAATAAATTTCATAGTACTTAAAATTTTAGAAAATGTTTTAATGGAAGCATTTAAGACAACAGATAGATGTGTGTGTGTGTGTATCTGATTGTAAATTAAGACAGAAAATACACTCACCCTCGTTGTGTTTGCAAAAGTCAACATTCCAGAACAAGTGTACTCTGCACAAACTCGAGGGTACAGAGACTAGAGCAGAGGAAAGGGAACTTACTCAGCAAATGCCCAGTAATACCCCTGGGGGTAACCTGGGTTAGCCTCTGAAAGTCGCATCATTCGCACTCCAAACCTGCCACCTGAGAATATTCTCGAAAACACAAGCAGACACTTTAACTTCCGCAACAGGGAGCGGAGACGGTCAGTGGGGAAATGTGCAAACAGTAACACAATAGTGACATGTGAAGCAGGAAACCTTGAAGGGAATCAACAGAGGAGCTGATACTACTTTAGAGGGGTCCTCTGGGGTGACCTTTTTGAGGAAACCATATCTGAGTTTAGAAATGAAGACCAAGGAGGGCCCAGCTTTCGCAAAGACACAGCGAGGCAGCGCCGGTGGAGAAAGACACCTCAGAGCGCCGCCCTGTGCCTGCACAACCTCGGGACGGCATGGGAGCGCGTGTCCATCGGACGCTGAAGACAGCGTGTGCCCCAGCCAGCCCTCGCCCGGGTATCATCTCCAGAATATGAATACTCACCCAAAAGATGCGTGCACCCCTGTGAGAAGCAGGCTCTTCACAATAGCCGACACGCAGAAACCCCCCAAAGGCCGCAGAGGCCTTTGGGAGTAGGGGAGTCACGGATGTTTGCTCAGTGGAGTCCTGCTCAGCCACTCAGAGAGACAGACCCTTGCCTTTCAGGCCACGTGGATAGAGCTTGAGGCCACTATGCTCGGCGAAGTCAGGCAGCTAGTGAAAAGCTGCTACCAGACTGTTTCTCACGTTTGTGGAATATAAATAACCAAAGAAGGCAGCTAACACAATCACCATAAAAGTCAGTAAGTCTTAGACTGTGGAAAACATAGTGCTTACTGGCGGGGGAGGCCTGAGGATGGAGGAAGGGGTGGGAGTCAACCTGGTGGCGGGAAGGCACTGGATCCTTGGGCGGGCAGGTAGGCATGGACACAGAGAGAAATCACAGCCCTGAAATATGGAATCCGTAGAAGTTTATTATATTTGTAAAAAGCAAAATATAGTGCTGACAGAGACCTCGGAAATGATGGTAGCTGTGCTCTCAGGGCGATGGAAAGCCAGGTGACTCTCGGGACTCAGTTTATATTTCTTTTATCTTTTTTTTTTTTAAGATTTATTTATTTATTCATATGAAACTGGGGTACAGGCCAGAGATGCAGAGGGTGAGAGGCTTCACCAGAGACAGAGTGGGGAGCAGAACAGGCAGATCGACAAAGTACACTGCTGAGGGGAGCAGCGGGCGGGTCAGGAGAGGTCTGCCGCGCCATGTGGTCACCTCTGGGGCAGGCGGGAATCGAACTCATGCGGAAGTGGCTTTAGCTTCTCAGTGCTGTGCTTTAACCCGCTGCGCCACCAGGAAGGCCCCGTTTATATTTCTTAAATATCAACAAAGGTGTTTCTTAAAGTTTATTCAGGTTGTGTAGTGAAGAATAGATCTGGGGATCTGTCTGTGCACTCCGGACATAACCTAGCTTCATTGTGCTGCTAATCTATGGCATTGCCCCAGACTGAGAGGCCTCAAGGTCACTCTTAATGTTCTCAAACTCAGCACCGGCTGCTGAGAAAGTTATGTTGTTGTTTGTGTCTTGCTGGTTTTTGCAGGTCGTGTGAACTGTTCATGGTTTGAACTGTGATATTACTAGAGGCGAAGCCAAGAGAAAATGCAGAACTTGACCTTGTGTGTGTGTGTGAGCGTATGTGTGTGTGTGCTTTGTAACCACAAGTGCTCTCACCATTAATACAAAGCCAAAAATAAATTTTCAATGTTCAGAACTGGCATTTCTTTCAATGTTGTCTGGCGAGAGTTATAAAAATGACAAATGTTAGCCTTCAAACCAGAAAATAGAACAGCCGTCACATTTCCCCACAAGTCCCAGGGACAGCCACACAGGCTGAAACGCGTCACCAGGGAGGCAGTGAGTAGTAATAATGGTTGTTCTTGAGCAGTATGCAAAGTGGGAAGAGAAGACAGTCAGTGAATCGCACAGCTCCAGTTAGCCGAGGCGGACAAACTTGCCATGAAAATAAGGGAAAAACATGACGGTCCCTTCAGTCCCAATAAAACGAGTGAGAACCAGTCTGAGACTCTACAAGACTTGCTTCTGTTTTTGGCACACAGTAGCAATTAAGTGGAGATGTCTTAATAACCAAATGTGATTAACTCAGATGAAGAAAAAACAGTCTCTACTAGGAATACCCTCATCCACATGACAGCACCGTCCTCATCGCTGTTTCTTTCATGGAGATCGCTAAGGGATTTCTTTCTCCCCCACCTTCCCCAACACGCCCCGCCAAGGTGAAAGATGTATTTTTCAAACCACTTGCAAAGGAATTTGCACCTCAATTCAAATGGGTCACTGGGTGTTGAGAGTGTCCTCTAAAGGAGTGAGCTCCTCACAGGACACCTGAGGGCTCGGCTGTTGCGTGGCTGACGCCACTACCCCTGGGAACACAGCAGCCCACGGTGACACCTCGCAGACACACACCTGCTGGAAATAAGCTCCCACAGCAGGCAGTGTGGTGAGGCTGTAGTTCACTGCAGAACAGACTCGCAGAGCACCCCAGGTGGACACACACACACACACACACACACACACATACATTCACTTTCACACTTACGCACGTGCACACACAGAACCCCAACACCCAGAAAGCTCGCTCACCTCTCTGATTCCAAACCTATACCACTGCTGAACAGTGTCTCAGAAATTACTCCTCTCATCATGAGCATTTTAATTTATAGCTAATACCATTGTAGTGGAAAGAAATTAAATTTCACTGTCATCTTTCAGATTGGATACTACGTGTCTCCAAGATAAATGTTAGCAGTTGATGGCTTTGCCCATAAATGAGACAGTCCAGTCCCAACTAGCAGATAGAAGGGGGCGTCTGGTGTTTCAGAAAGTGAAAGCTCACAGCCCCGGTGACCTAGGGCTGGAGGTCCTCCATGCTTCTCTTCTGCTCTCCGTAAGAACCAACATCTATGTCAGCCTCTGTCACAGCCCAGCTGGCAGCTCAGGCTCATACGGGTGTGCCTGCCTCCTGGAGATCGAGCTGAACTTTGTCCCGGATTGAGGAAAACATGTCCAGAAGGTTGTCCTTCCATGTAGGCATCACATGTGATTCTCCCTGGTCATCTTATGGACACGGGCTTACCTGCATATTACACTGGCTGCTGGCTTACCTCAAAATCAATGCCAGAAACTGCAAGAGACCATTTTGATTGCTAACAGTCAGCACTCGTCAAGGCTCACAGTACATCAAGCTTGCCCTGAAGAACGTAGAAGAGCAGAGATCTTTGGGGTTGGGGGTTGAGAGGAAAATGGTGTTGAGTCGGCAGGGGGGACATGAGGATACTTTGAAAACTACCCTGGAGTGAAGTTAGAGAAGCAGGTTGATGCAAACAGGACCATGCCATCCGCTGGGCCAGAGTTGACCTGGTGGACGTCTTCGGTTTGTGCTTCCAGTATTTTAGCTAAAAAATGTGTTTCAGCAATTTAATGGATGCTTTAAATCAGACAAAATCATTACATCTGGAATAGAGGAAAGTTCACCCAAGCCTTGACTTACTCATGGATACATTTTACAAAGCTCTCTTGCCTGACTGTGGAGTTAGAAGTAGCGACTGAGATTTGGAGCGCTCTGGCAGAGGAATGGCATTCGACGATGTTTTGAAAATGGCTCATTTTTATGATGAACATCCTGGAATTTATGCAATGTTATAAAATGAAATTAGCTCAATAAAAAGAATAATCTGGGAATAATCCATGACATATCATTTCAGGTTTAACATTTTCGTGTACTTTTTATTTAACCATTTGCTTTCTTCTAATGTGATTATGAAGGCAGAATCCTGAACAGGTCAATGATGCATCACTCAACCTCATTTTAAGTAACCAATGCAGAATAAGACTAATTGTCTTTTTCTCAATTTTTAAGATCCTGACTTTAAGGACCTGGGAGCTTTGAAACCATTACCAGGTTGGTAAAGTGGCTGTTTAACAATGTTCAGAGTCCTTTGTTTGCTGCTGTGAAATATACTTTTGGTTTATTACTCAAGCTCCATTTTGCATGTTTGTTTGGCATTTTGTTGTTCAGCCTGTGAGTTTGAGATGGGCGGTCCGGAAGGCATTGTGGAGTCCGTTCAGATCATGAAGGAAGGCAAAGCTTCTGCTAGCGAAGCCGTGGACTGCAAATGGTACATCCGAGCACCGCCACGATCCAAGGTCAGTCCCAAGTGCGCCTCGGGCCCTCAGAGCTGGTTTCCACGTCAGTGAAACTTTTCACGTCACAAATGAAACAGAGAGGGCGCTGACGAGATAGTCTGATAGCCTGGGCCAGAGACACCAAGGTAGCTGACGTGTCTGAAGAAAATGGATGGATGGACACGTCCTACGTAAGCTGTGGTCTAGCGGAAGTGCAGCCCTTAGTCCCAGCTTCTGCAGCCTCTTTGCTTTTTAACCAAAAATTGTGTCCGCAGAATAAGGGTTTGCATCATCTCGCGTCTCCGGGACATCAGCCTGGCTGAGGTTGGGGGCTGCTGAGCCAGGCAGAGCGAGGCTGGCCACCCTGGTCAGACAGGCAGACCTGAGCTGCATTTTGACTTTGCTCATGAGAAGCCAGTCCAGCATCGCCGAGTCCCCATTTTCTTCATGACACCTCCCCCACCCCCCAAGCAGACTTTGTTTAGTGACTATGATGATAGGCAGGTGTCCTCTGTATTGGGTTAACTAGATGGGAGGCCAGACTCTCCCTCAGCCTGCTCCTCTGGGACTGCGCCTTTAAAACAGCAGTCCTCATCCCCTGTGGATACTTCTTGAGGACTCTCGGGGCCAGTGGCTTCTGCTTTCCTCATACCACGGGGCTGAGATGCCCCCATTGTCACTCCTCAGTTAGGGCGCACTCGCCAGCCAGCTCTCCTTGTGAGCGCATTTATAGTTGACTGTTTATTGAGGCTGATCCCATTCATTATCAAATAGATTTAGTAGCTCTATAAACTCAAGCACTCTGTTGGCGAGATGAAAATGCACGCCAGCCCCTGTCCGTTCGTTTCCAGTTAGTTCTCAGTGAAACGTGTAACAAGACAATGCACAGAGTGAGACAGCACTGCTGAGGTGTTTATAGGGTGTGGTCGGCTGAGGGGAAAGACCTCATTGGCCGCGGAAGGTGAGCCCAAGGTGGGATGTAACGTCCAGGCATTCCCCAAGCCCTGATGACATACTGATGTGTCTCAGGGGAAGAGGTGGGGGCTTCTCCAGGGCCTGAGGTCTTGGGGTCACACCAGAATATGCCTGTTCCAGACTTCATTGCATGTATTTGTATAAAAGCACCACCATGGTGGGCAGTGAGCCCGAAGCCCAGTTCTGCCAGCCCCCGGATGCCTGCGCTCCCCATGAGTGCGCAGGGAAACATGGGAGGGTGGGAAGAACAAAGCCAGGGTCAGACCAGTGTCCTGGAGAGCAGGTACAGAGGGTTGACCCACAAGGGGAAGACTCCAGAAGGAAGTGGGACAGCAGGGGAGACTGCTGACACAGGCTGGCTGGGGCTGTCAGGGTCGGGGAGGGGCGGGGTGAAGGCCCTGTCCCTGGGGTGCCGGCTGGTCTCCTTCCTCACTCTGCCCTAGGTGGGTCTCTGGGGTGTACCCCTAGGGTGGGGTGTGCCAGGCTTTCCTTAAACTGCTAGTCGCCAGGGGTTTAGGAAACAAGGTCAAGTTCCCAGTTTCAACCCAGTGGGTCTCGTTGTGGCTGAACACACCTTTGAAGGGATTAAGGGCATCATGAAGAAGGCAGGATCTTCTGCCTCTTTAGAAGAATCAGACCTTTGGCCACGCGAAAGTGCTAATATCCCTGCACTGGTGACATGGTGTTCACCGTATGTGGGTTCGTCTCAGAGGGCTTTCACTTTCTTTTTGTGCTATGAGTGAAAGTGCTTTTCACGTTTTTTCTCAGCAGGAAACAGGTACCCCCCCATCCCTATACCGTGGTCCCCCGTCTCTGCTGTGGCCATATCAGAGAGGGGTTGGCTGGGGCTGTGGATACACCCATTTTCTTCCAGCTGGTAACCAGGCTGTCATGGCCCGCGTCCAGCCCCAGAACAGCCTACCTCTCAGAGCATCAGGCGTTCTGTGGTTCTGTGGCCAGGGAGGCCGCTTGCAGAGGGACGAAGGTGTTCAATTGTGACAGGTTTTCTCTGTTAAATGAAAGGTTAGAGGACAGGAAGTGCCTTTGCATCTTGTGAAGGAAAGCCCAAATTGGAAAGGACTGCTTCCGCAGGCTTTCTGTTTTTATGGGGTTCCTAGCAGCTCAGGAAAACAGACCTTCAAAGCCCAAGACAGGAGGTGGTGGGATGTGAAGGCTGACTGGGGGCTGGACCTGGCCGGTCACGGCCACCTGTCCTGAATGAGATAAGTGTCATTTAGAGTATACATTGCTTCTCAGTCTTTGGGCAAATAGAAAATTGAGCAACTAACACTCCCTTCATTTGAGAATAGTAACTATATGGATGATGGCCTCTACTTCGGATGTGGTTAATTCACGTCCTAGAATTTAGAATACCAGGGTCAGAAAGAAGGTTGGAAATCAATCTCGTAGAGCTTGCTTATTCAGGTGATAAGTCGCTGATGATAACAAGGTCTGTGTGCGTTAGCACAAGGGTGCAGAAATAATGTCTTTGTAAGCGACTGTTGAGCATCCGTATGGTGGAGAGGGTGAAAGTAACTAACTCCTAATCCAGAAGAGTATCACTCGGAGAATGTTGGAGCATCGACTCATGTAACTTCTGGGATGCTGATTTCTTCATGCTTGGGGCATATGTGTACCCAGATGGATGCCTGATGCCAACTGAGCCTTCATTCTGTTAAAAATTCTGGAAAAAATGACCTGGTTTCCATCTAAAGAAAATTTCAAACATGCCATTTGTCATATGACAAGAATAAGAAATTAGGTTTAATCTGCTTGGTTTTGTACTAACATTTATCTCAATGCCCAACACTAAAGAAATTGAGTTTTGAATTCCACCTGGGGAAGTTCTTTGTTTTTGTTTTAATAACAAAACTACCCAACAATCAAAAGCAATGCCACAGGAGGAACCAAGCAAAGTTTGGCAGGGATTTTGTGTGATAACAAAATAGGGTATTTTATTTTTTGGTGTAGATTTAATATTAAATTACTTTCAAGACAAACACTGAATGAATGTAGAAGTGACTTGCCCAAATATTTGGCCACTTAATCACAGAGCTGGAGCCAGATCCCGATCTCCAGATCCCCATGACTCTGTGATGTCACTGAGCCACTCTGAGGGGAAATTGTCAAAATTGGTAAGACAGAGAGAGAGAGAGAGAGACAAGTCAAAAGGCTTATGATGTGTCCAAATGAAGATGATTATTTAATGACTGAAGTCTTGTGGGAATAAAACTCTAGCATTTAGTAAATTATTCATCTAAATTATAATATGCTGCTACTTCATTCAAAACTGTTTTGAAGGGAATTAGAATAAAATTGACATAAAACTTGACAAATAGCATCTATCCATATTTTATAGTGAGGATGAATTTAATTGTCAGAGGCAGAACTTAAGATGGCGCCCAAGGTTTTCAGCTCAGTCTCTGGGACTGTAAATATGATAAAATATCACACACTTGATTATGTTAAATTACCTGGCAAGACAAATTTTGTTGGTATAATTCAGGTTACCACGCCGTTGACTCTGAGTTAATTAAGAGTCCATTTATCCAGGTGTGTCTGATGGAATCCTCGGAGCCCTTTCCAAGCAGACATCTCCCTGGCTGGGGCGAAGGGGGCGCAGAGAGACTAAGAGATCTCTGAGAGCCCACACTGGTGCCCAGGCAACTCATCATGGACACACAGGCCCTGGAGCTGCGAGGAACTGGGTTTCCAGCTTGTACATTCTCAGCAGAAAACAGCCTGTCTGCAGGCCTACCCCCTGCCCAGCGGGGAGCGGAGCCAGCTTAAGCTGCTCAGTTTGCTATGGGGCAAGTAGGAAGCTAATGCCGATGAAGAGCCTGAGAGCTAGTGGATCACGCCAACACGTTTAAGACTTCCGGAGGCTGAGTCTGCTCTCGTTGTCTCCAAAAATAAGAGGAAATTCGTGTAAACAAAATGAAAACCTGAACTGGCTGGGAAACCAGCAGTCCAAAGTTGTATGGCGACGAGTCACAGTTCTGTGCTGTCAGATGGAGGGACTCAGGAGGCTGAGAATCTTTAGTACTGGGAGATGAGTTCAACATGGTGCCATGAGAATTTATTCTAGGGCGTTTGTCTTTTGAGTGTTTCAGAAAAGAGTTTCCTCTTCCAAATAAAGGAAGAGTGGTCACCTGGCAGGTGTGCTCACCAAACTGTCGCACAGAACCGGGGCACACACTCCTTAGCCTGTGTGGTCATTTCTCAAAGTCCAAAGCTGTACTAAACTCAAGGGAGCTCACGGACTGGCTGACATGTTTAATTTTCACTTGTCATGGAGAAAACTGTCTGACAAGTCTTAAGTAATGGCCCGATGTCTGTCACCTGGTGTCATTGGGGAAGCATCAGAGCGAGTGACGGAATTAAATATTTGTGAATAAATTACTTGGGAAATTGTTAGTTAAATTTGCTTGCTTTGAATATACAAAAAAGAGTGCAAACATTTTCGAGTGATTGGGAAGGCAGACAGGACTAGAAAGAAATTGTATATTCTGAAGCCCTTTCAATAAATCCTGTTCAATAAGTCCTGTTCAATAAATCATTTTGTCAGCTCAAAACTCTGCGATTGATTAGAAGGAAGAATGCATCAAAATGATTCACTGAGAAGAGATGTAATCTGACTATTTTACTAGAGTTATATATTATTCTGTTTATCATTTTCTCTTCTGCAGCAAGACTAAAATATTCTAGTTTTTTTAAATAAAACCATTGTCACATGGAAATTCTTCTCCTTGGTGATCTTATGGCCAGCTGTTAAGCTGACAAGACGGATATTTAAATCATAATGATTTGAGACTTATTGTCTGATCCCACATGTGGCTCCCATTCCTGGGGTAAAACAGCACCCCCTTTTTGGCCAACGACATTTGACTTTCTTGTAGATCACTGTCTCCAGTATAATGAAAATCACTGGCCTATGGAACTGTGTTTTCTTAGGAGATAGAAAAACTGAAGTTAAAAAAATTGAATGCTTCAGACATGAATATGACAAAATCTAGTGACAGCAATTGTTCACTTGCTCTGTAGTGAGCGTGCTGCCATAGGAGAAAGGCCCAGAGACACGGAACATACTTGGATTCTAGTCCATGCATTTTAGGTGAGGCTGCAAATCAACATGGCAAACATGGACAGTCCAGCAATGAAAAACATAACTAGGTGTGCACGTGGGCTGAGGAGCCGGCATGGTGCCCTCTACACCGTGGCCCTCTGTGGGAAGGACACTTCAGACCAGGGGCATTTTCATTCACTGTGACTCACTGGCGTCTGGATGGCCGACACCACGCTGAGTCGCAGCAGGAAGATGAAATGGTTCTACCTGGTGTGTGACTTTTTATTTCATTGTAGTTTGCTTTCTTTAAGATTTGAACTTTCTTTGTGGAATGTAAGTCCGTAAGAATTTTCTTAAATGTCCATAGTGCGATAATTAGGAGCAAAGTTTCAGATCTTAGTTCACCACCCACCCAGCGTTAAGGGACTGGGTCACGTTAAGAAAGTGATTCAGTGTTTCCAAAGTGCAGGGTTTTCATTTTAGAGTAGTTGAAACAAATGTCTGTTGTCATTGAGAGATTTGAGAGCAAATATTAGCATGTCTCTCCTTATAGCCAGTGCACAGTGCAAATAGTTAATTCCTGTTTTAAATTGTATTTGTACATGCAGAGTAAGAAGAAACTTGAGATAACTGTTCAGATCTCTTAGGCACTGAACATACCAAGCCATTGGCTGTCTTTCTTGCGTTAGTCAAGATTTTGCTTCAATGAAATGTTCTTTGCCTGTGGGCATAGTGATTGATTTTTATCGCCTCAGAAGAACACTGGAGGCAAGGGTTACTTTATTTCCTCGAAAAGAATCCTTTCAGTTCCCCTCATCAGCTTCTCTGTTGGAGGCTATGTACACTTACAATCGTAGTTGCATGTTATTATTTAACTAATAGTGGCTGTTAGATTAATGCATAGGATTTGAAAATACAAATACTAATTTGTGTTTTGTTGTTTTTAAGAAGTTTACTACCTCACAAGGCTGCTGCTGACACGGTGTAGGTATTTATTGGGTTGTTGAAAACACAGGGTGTCTTTTTTCTGTTTATATGAAAAAGTGTGTCATGACTTCTCCGACGACCCCGTAATTTTTATAGTGTTTTCACTGGTTCACTTTTCCTTGGGTGGGTACCGTGTGGTGTAGTGAGAAGGGCTTGAGAGCAGGAATCGGGCTTTGAGCCCGGGAGGCACCCCGCTGGTTGGCTACTTCCAGCCAGTTCCTGTATCTCCTGTGCTCCAGCTCTCAGTAAAGGTTGTCTGAGAGCCCCTGGTCTTCTTACAGTCGCAGGGAAACTTGAACAACAAACTAGTTGGTGAAAATGTGGTGAGGTTACCACTGTCAGATGTGACTTCAAGTAGCCGTTTAGGAAATTTTCTGGACAATTTTCAGTAAGGTGATATTTGGTTGGGAAAAGTAGATCACAGATGGACTCAGCGAGTAATATTTGTACTTTCAATAGAATAAAATAATGCAGTCCCCTGAGAATGAAGAACACGTAGGCTTTCTTGATGTCTGATGTTCTTCAAGGCTGGGTTATGGCAGTCAATTTAAAGATAGCATCCAAGGACTTGGAGATTTTAGGATCGTTTCCAGATTGCCTGCTTAGGGAAAGCTTCTCGCCGCACAAGGCGTCATCACACCAGGCACGTCCATGGCTTCTCGGCTGGTTCCATTTCCGCCCAGTCTCCGCTTCTGTGCCTCCTCCTCAAGTTATGGCATTTCCTGACTTGGGACTTCACATTTTATTTTCAGTCAGTGCCTCATACGCCTGCAGCAGGCCTTGCTGTGCTACTTTGTCATAGTTTACAGTCATATTATAAATACCTCGTTGTGAGAATTATTGCATATCATTTCCCACGGCAAGTAAGGAAATGTCAGTTATTCCACAGAATGGTCATTATGGGAGCTGAACAAATGAAATAAATAAACAGAACAAGTTCCCATCAGTCATCCCAGGGTTCACGACTCTCCCTCCTGTGGAGCTGCTAATACGTGAACCTGCGGCTTGATGCTGATAGGAGAAGAAGAACCTGCTGCCCGGTTGGTTCAGGCACAGGACCGCCAGCAAGCTGCGCTCCAGCCTGCGCCGCAGCTGAACGTGCTGATGGAAACGCGTCACGGGGAGGGTGAGGGAGAAAACACTGCCTCGGTGCGGGCGGCCACCGCCTCTACAGGTTGCTGAACAGCCTGAGCGTCCCAGGAGGCCGCGAGGCACCGGCGCGCAGCCGACACCCGTCCGGGGCCCAGCGGGCCTCCGACAGGTGTGTGGGGTCTGGCGATGGGGGGGATCACACGTTTGTCCGTCTTCGCGTTTGAAACGTTTTTTCACCACAGCTCGAAAACCAGTTGAAGATTTCAGTACAGATATTCTTGTCTTGGAGACGTGGCTGACTGGCTTGTAGCCGGACTGAAGAGCGCGTCCTGGGGAATGGCCGGCCGCCTCTCAGGGAGGGAGCCAGAAGCAGCCGCTGAGGGGTGCAGTGAACGAGAACCAGTGTCCAGTGCACTGAGAACATGGAGGGCGCAGAGACTTTGCTTTTAATTGAGATATTGGCATTTTTAAATTTAGGGCAGACACACTGGAACTGGGGAAAATGTATCTTGTGGAATCACAGCTTGGGGCGGAAATGAAGGCACATGAGCCCAGAGTGGTGAGAGGCGAATTCCGTTGGGATGCTCGTCCTGAGTTTGGGCCTGTTAGGAGGCGCGGCTGCAGGCGTTCACGTTTAGAGATGTCGGGGGAGACGCCTGCTGCCCCACCCGACTAGAGGGCTGAGGCCACTGGCCGGCCATCGCCTGAGAGGCCCCGCTCCCAGCCGCTCCCCTAACCACAGCCTTGAGCACCGGCCAGCGGGTGGGACTGATGGCTGATGGACCAGCCGCTTCTTTTCAGACCTCACTCCGCTTGAATTACTGCTTGTGCTCTTCAGTGCAGAGTGATACAGAGTCAAAGGCCACCCGCTTGGCATAAATGGGACTGGCGCAGCGTCACACTGGCGAGGGAGCGTGACCTCGGGTTAGAGGCGCTCAGTCCCGCTTCCCGTTTATAACCCTTGAGGCTGAATTTCTCATCTCAAGGTGACAAGGACACTTTGTAGGGCCACAGGGAGCATTTCCAAACCACCTATACAGTAGGTCTCGCCGTGCTTGTAACGCGCCGTGTTCATTTTTAGTTATGTGGAGTTATGTCAGTGACGTGTAAGAACAATCATAGATTGCTTCTGTCTTTTGGAAAAAATAGGTTCATCCTCTGAAGTGAAAAAAGTAAAATCAGCCTTTGGGTACCGCTCTGGGTTCCTTCGGTACTGATACAAGCTATTTTTCCACACATCCTGGGAGCAAATGGAACACATGGGGGCTTAGTGAATCTATCGGGAGCATTTGTGCTGATCAACCTAAAACACCATGTAAACAGGAGAAGTCATAGCTGATTTCAAGTACATTCTGAGAAGGAATAAGGATCCTTTGGGTAAAAATAGTCAGCCACGGGGAAGTGGTACATTTACGTAAAATAAGGATAATAACATCTGAAAAAAGATGGAACACGATTTGCTCTTAGTCATAGTCTCGCCTTCCTGCTATCGGCAGGGGAAGAATAAGATTGATTGCAATCAAGCCTGGTTTGTGTGGGCGAGAGGGGAGGGAGGTTCCGCTCGGGACTGACCCACTTTGCTGTGCGGTCGCGCCCTGATGGTGTGTGTGGCTTTGCAGATCTACTTGCGATTCCTGGACTACGAGATGCAGAATTCCAACGAGTGCAAAAGGAACTTCGTGGCCGTGTACGACGGGAGCAGCTCCGTGGAGGACCTGAAGGCCAAGTTCTGCAGCACCGTGGCCAATGACGTGATGCTGCGCACGGGCCTCGGCGTGGTCCGCCTCTGGGCGGACGAGGGCAGCCGCAGCAGCCGCTTCCAGATGCTCTTCACGTCCTTCCAAGAACGTAAGGTTCTCCGCCCTGACCGCGTGCGCTTCAAACGCTCATGAGCTGCGCGACTCAGAAGCGTTAAAGCGTTTTCTTCCCGCAGCCTGAGCATAGCTGGGCGCCCCCTAGTAAGTCCTTAGAATCCCTGAGCTTCCGCTCCCTTCACGTGGACCCAATGGCAGGAGACACTCGCTGACGTGTGTGCGCTCCTGACTCTAGACCCTCGCTTGGAAGCTAAGAGGGTCCCGGTGCCCCCTGGGCCGTGAGTTTGGCTCTGGTTTAGCTCTTGCCAAGCACTGGGAGCCAACGCACCAGCTTGTGATGGAGTTTGAGTTTAAATCTTAAAAAGCTGCAGAGAACGAGTTGCTAGGGTTCCTTTTGCAAGTTTCTCTTGCAGTCCCATTTATTTCAAATAGCGCTGTGTCTGCAGAGTTCCAATTACAGCTGGCTGAGATAGAGATGTTTGGGAAAAGAGTCAACAGAAAAAAATCAGAAAACATTTGAAATGGCACAAAGGGTGATGTCCAGAGATATATGCAAAGCCCAGCAATTTCAGAAAATTATGTTCTAACAAATAATGACTCATATTAATAGATATATTTGGAATGTTCTCTAAAAACCCTGAATTATTCATGTTTAATAAATTTATACCAGTGAAAAGTAACCCTGAGAAATTCAGCTTTAAGGACCTTGCATTTTGAAGTTAGAGATTTTGACTAGAAGACAATGTAATGCTTTTGAAATTTCAAGGATGTTTTTAACCATAGACCCAGCATTCTGTTTTCCAATTCACAAATGCTAAAAGTATTAGGCAATTCGTTCTTTAGCATGGACAAAAAGTTTGGCTTTACGTCTCCTTCTCGTTGCCCCGCTAGCATTCAAGGGCCCTGTCAGACTCAGTGTCACGCGGCCTTTGTCAGTCTCGTCCGTGGTGCTAACCATCGCTCCCGCACTGCTGTGGGCGTTAGCTGTGCGCTACTATCATTGTTTTCGTTTCAGTAGCTGACCAGTATGTTAGAAGTCGTGTGGCTTTATTTCAGCAAGGTACCTGGTCCAAAGACAGTTCTGATTTCCTTGACTAGAATAGGAGGAAATCCAGGTTACGCAGCAGAACATTTAGTGTTTTCACAATACAGCGTCTTGATGCTGATTGTTCTCCGATGCAGTAATTCCTGCCTGTGGTGAGGGCTTAAAAGGTACTTGATTCAACATTCTTATCTTCTTGAAAATAACACACCTCATGGGGATGATCTAACTGAATGGACACAGCTATGGAAGCACAAGCTAATATATTCTATCACAGATGCCAAGTTTTTAAAAATATCACAACTCTGCGATCTGATCAAAAGTACACCATGAATGTATAGGGCTAAGTGAACATAGACATTCTTAGGTTTCAAATCTCAACTAAAAAAATAAATAAAACAGGACAGAAGAACTAATTCCTCTGTCTTCCCAAGGTTTGATTTCCTTCAAACGCAATACGAGCCAAACATTTTTAAATGGTAGACATCTTTTTTTTTCCTTCTTTTGAAGACTTACTTATCATACAGAACTGGGGTACAGGCCAGAGATGCGGAGGGTGAGAGGCTTCACCAGAGACAGAGTGGGGAGCAGAACAGGCAGATCGACGAAGTACACTGCTGAGGGGAGCAGCGGGCGGGCCAGGAGAGGTCTGCCGCACCCTGGGGGTCACCTCCAGGGCAGGGATCGAACTCATGCGGAAGTGGCTTTAGCTTCTCAGTGCTGTGCTTTAACCCGCTGCGCCACCAGGGAGGGCCAACAGACATATCTTAACGCGTGGCTGTTATGGAATGTCCAGTGAACCGCCCAGGAAGACAGCCTGTGGGAAGCTGTCGGGTCAGAGAGCAAGTCACACAGCCTGGGCTGTAAGAAGGCCAATGAGCTTCATGGTTACCGCTCTTGGCTCACCCCCGCCCACCGCCGCGGATTCACCTCTTTGGAAAAGGCCCCGTTGTGTAACCACCTCCTCTCCTCAGACCTCCTCGTGCACCCTGCGTTTCCCACCCTGACCCTGTGGGACGCTTCTCCCACCTTTCTCCTCCTTTCTGAGCTCCTCCACCCAGTCACCCCCGCTCTAGAGTGCGCAGCCACCTCACAACTCCTCTCCTCTGTGGTGTCCCGCTCCCGGTTCAATCCAGAGCTCTTTTCTGGCTGTCATCAGTGACGTCAGGGAGCAGTTGGCTGGGGCTGACCAGGACGCAGAGGCACCTGGTGTCCTGGGAAAAGGTCACAGGAGAGGGGATGTTTAGCATAGGAGTTTTCAATGTGATAACTGATGTTGAATGATGTGGATTAATATCTGAAAGGTGAGAATAATGTTTTAAGTGAGTTATAAGGAAACATTTGAGTATAATTTAGAGAAAAATGTCTGTCTATCCCATAGGAGTATTATATTTCATATCTAAGTGGAGTTCCATGCAAGATGTGGACTCTGGATGGAGGCGATGAGGTGTGATGACGTCACGTCATCTGTGTTGGGTGGGGCATGGACTGCCTGATGGTTAAGGCCCCTCTCCACCATAAGATGGGTTAAGAACAATTCTACTTACATAGGAAGAGGTGAATTATGTCCTAATGTGCCTGTATCTATAGAAACTTTTTATTTGTGCTAAAAGATAAAGTTTCCATGCATGTTATTGAATCATCTCTGGAAGTCATTCAAGTCATTCACTTTCTGATGACAAATTCAGGAGAAATGGAATGTTCTTCCTCCTTGGGAAGGAAGCACCAGCCTTTGGGTCCGCACATGGGTGGAGGGTGTGCTCCTTGGGATGATTTGTGTCACAGTGACACTCTCTGTGATTACCTTATGAATTTATAAGCTTCAACTGAAAGAAATTTATCTTTGTCATGTAGCCTATGAAATTTGTTTTATCTGTATTGGCTAAAACTTTGCAGAATTCTCTTATATGCCGAGGATCAAAGCCCTCTCCTGAAAAAAAAGGTGGGGGCAGACAGTCTCTCTGCATTGAAATCAAGGCATTGTAGGTAATCGGTGAACATTTCAAAACGAGATGTGAACTTCAGTTTATCAATGCTACCCTGAGAACATGCCACAACATTCCAGTAGCTGTCAAGATGGCTTATGTTTTAGGGCTCAGAGAGAATTTAGAGGTCACCCATTTGATCCCAACCACTTTACGAATTCAGACAAATAGAAAGAGGACCCAGGGAATTTGACCGATTTGCCCTGAACCATTCGCCTTGTCCATGTGTGAGTGACTTGGTAACCACCAGAGGGAGGCGCTAGACCGGCCTGCTAAAATTCTAAGTCGCTTGTTTGTAACTTGCAACTTTTGAGGGAATGAACGGAGCTCCCATCTTCTCAGGGAGGGTGATGCTGATGAATGAGACAGGAGGACAGGGCAGGAAGAGAGGAGGAGTGGGCAGCCCTTGGGGGTCATCCATGCGGTTGGAGCTCGCCCTCCGGCGTTAAGCGCCTTGCCGCTGTCTGTACCACCTACGGCGCGTGCGCGTGTCGACCTGCCCCTACGGTCGCGCGGATTCATGACTGATTGCGAGGGAAATTCAAGGATAGAAGAGATATGGGCATACGTGAGATGTGCCTCTTCATGTTGAGGCACTTGCCCGACCTTTTCCAGTGTTGCACGAATTTGTGGTAACCAGAAAGGGTGATTATCAACAGAGCTGTTTCTTGTTTTGATTTCTGAAGTTCCACCTTAGTTTTTTTCTGCTTTTATTTAGAGCTTTTTCCCAATGAAATATCAATCACTTAATACTTGATTAATGGGTAGTCTGTTTCTGTTAAACACAAACATACAAGAGAAAGATGAAAGCAAGCTGTTTCCTTGCAAGCAAGCAAGCAAGGACTGTTGTTGACAGAAACTTGAAGTGACATCGTGGATTTAATTTCATCTTAATTTGTGGCAAAACAATATGGAGTATAAACTACATGTCTATTTACATACATGCCACAACATTTATGCTTAAAGAGGAAAGGATGGAAGGCAGAGTGCTGAGATGAACCAGAAGATTCCTACTTCTTGATGTAGAAACCCTCTCCTTGAGATAGGCAAAGCCTGTGAACCTTGTGGGTTGTCATTCAGTACTTGAGCTTATTTCAAGGTGGAAGTTTTTCTGCAGATGTCTCTAAGACTTTGAGATTATCAAAGGAGAGATTTTCTTGGGTGGGCCTGGTCTCATCAGGTGAGGGCCTTGGTGGGCCTGACCTCCTCAGGTGAACTCTCTAAAATAAGGTGACATATGCAACAGAGAGACTTCTGGGGGAAGAAGCCAACAGGAATGCAATACACTGCCTGCCTATAAGAGGGGAAACACCCTGGCTACCTGTGAGCAGGAACATGGGCAGACACTCAGTCATTTGTCCGCAAGGAGCTGAATTCTGCCAACAACCTGAATCTGCAGGAACAGCTCCCTGAGAACCAGGTGGGAACCACAGCCCCTGCCACACCAGGCTTGCACCTGTGGGCCCTGCCAGAAGAGCCAGTGCTTCGACTGCTGAACCTGTGGGATCAGAGCTGGGTGTTTTAAGGTGCTCACTTTTGTCACAGAGCCCGAGAAAACCCTGGCGAATCTTGGTGCAGAAAGTGCTGCTCTGTCAGATAGCAAAAATGTCAAAGCAGCTTTAGGATCAAGCCACGATTATAGGTTGGCTGAATGATGAAGAGCATGATAGAAAAAGCCCAAAACGCCTTAGACAGATGGTTAAAATAAACCTGCACTTGGCAGGCTGCCGAGAGCTGGGCTAGCAGGAGGCAGGAGACAGGAGGCAGGAGGCACTTGTTATTAGAAACTGGGGGAGGGGAGAGCCTTGATTTGCCGTGGCAGGAAGCTTGGTGAAATCGCGTCCTGCAGGGCTGTGCCGCCGGCTTGTAAGTGACACACATCACTGCGCCGCTAGGTAAACACCGAGGAAGCGTGGGTGCTGCAGTCCTGGCCGCTTATAGTAACATGCGGGAGAGGAGAAGTAAACCGAAGGAAGAACTATTCAACAAAATGGAATTAGAACTGGA